GCAGCAGCAGCAGCAGCAGGTGCAGCAGCAGCAGCAGCAGCAGGTGCAGCAGCAGCAGCAGCAGGTGCAGCAGCAGCAGCAGGTGCAGCAGCAGCAGGTGCAGCAGCAGCAGCAGCAGCAGCAGCAGACGACATTACCCAACCCTGACCGCTGATTGTTCGCTGGCATGTAACGTGTCGTGGAACGTCCAGCTTAAGTTTAGTTACACCGTAGGCCGTCCCTTCACGCGCCTCCGCCAGTATCCGCGCAACTTCGGATCGCTTGGCCATGTTGGAAGCCATGTCCGGGCAAAGGTCCTGCTAGCACTTTCAGGGTGTTGTATGCAGGGAGCTTTGCTTGCGTTCATGCTTGTGACAGAAGCGGGAACCAGCTCCTGGAACAGCTTGGAGAGCTCGTGGTTGTCGATGTCCCCGCTGCCGTCAGTGTCGTAAACTGCAAACCTGACTTGCGCTTGAACTTGCTGGGCAGAGTTTTGGAGCTACAGTATAGGAAAGGTGTCCTGGGGTGATGCTTGCAATCCCGCGCCACGACGACAAGCTTCCATCTGACTGTATCTAGCATCACCACACGAACGCACGCATACTTTGAGGATGCCAAATGCCAGCCAAAATGTTCAGAGTCTGCATGCGGTGCTCCTTTGCACACCGCGGCACGGACTGACAGGGATCCACCGTGCAGCAGTGACGCGCGCAGCGCGTCTCTTGCAAGGGCTTTCCAGCTCTCGGGATTCTGGGGAGCTGGGCCCTCGGGCTGAAATTTAAAAGGTTGGCATACGGAGCTTTGCTGCAGACTTCAGCGGCTGCCACCATTGCCAAGAGCGGTGCAAGAGACTCCTTTGCGCACCCTTGCGGAGACTCCACTCAAAAACATTGCACTCAAAAACATTGCGCTTGTAGCCACATTTGCAGGAAGGTGCCGAACATTGAGCTGCTGCCTGCCAGGCGAGCCAGCCCGATCAGAAGATGCTGCTGTCGTACAGGTAGGTAAAACATGGATGAATGTGGTAGTGACGCAGATCGCCTTTCAGAAAAGGAAGAGAGCAGAGGGCAGAGCAAAGAGAGCTGGCAGAACAGACACGCAGAACACAACACCAGGCAACCCCCGCCAAGTACCTGCACTGAACGAGCCTTCCGTCTTGTCTTGCTTCTGGCTTGGCACCTCTGCTGCTGGGCACGGAAATACATCAAAGGGAAAGCCCCACACTGCTTGGACTGCAAGCTGCATCAGGTACGAGGACTATGCCATTGCGATAGCCGAGCTTTTCTTCGCGTCAGCTTCAGCAAGCTCTCAGATCTCTCTCATCAAAGGTGCTAAAAGAGGCTCACGCTGCAAGCAGATTCCGTTGCGCTTGCACTGCAAGCTGTACTGAGGTGCTCTTTCTAGGCATCTTCTAGGTCTTGTTCCGCGGGTCAGCTTCAGCAAGCTCTTGCAACTTTCTCTCCCTTGCAGCATGGAAGTTGCACCTCCTGCAGCTGTGGCTTGGTCCGTACTGGCGCAGGGGGCGGTTTGACCTCCGCAGATCTCCGGATCTCACCACGGCTCCGTGACAGCACATGTGCACTGTGTACAGGTCCCTCCTGCGGAGGGAGGAGCCCAGCATCCTCCAGCAAGGTGTGGTATGAAGCTGCCTCAGAGGAAGGACGAGCTGCCACAGCGCGTCGGAAAGGCTGCCAGAGGTCTAAACTGTCCAAACTCTTATGAATGACGAGCAGTGCGCTGATACAAGGGGCATGCACATGCTAGCACGCTCTCACACTCTTCTACAGTTTATCTTGTCCTCATCAAGCTGATCTGCAAACAGCTTCAGCCATCGTCAGCCACAGCTACCTGGACCTCGACGACCCGCTGGGCTCCGGACCCGGCACTCGCGCAACATCCACGATGCCATGGCGTCGGCAGAAAAGGCCCTGCAGGGTGTGACAGCAGAAGCTTCAGAGACTTTCACCAGCTGCCTCTCGTCGAAGGAGCGAAATCTTGGGGCGGCCACCTGTCCTGGAAAGCAGGCATCCCTAACATCCCCGAACAAGGAGAAAAGCACAGCCAGCACGCCACCTTCGATGACGGCACAGATCGACGTGATGCTGGCGTTCAGCATGGCCTCGCGCTCCCCCTTTACACATCACATCTACCATCTGCACATGGGGGCAATGCGTGCAACGCGCGACACATGTCGAGGTCCCGACTCGAAGCGATGCCAGGAAGGGATTAGGCACAGAGTCCTGGTGTCAAGGAGGGCTTAGTGAGTGACTTACTGCAAATGATGCAATCAGCACTGCTCACACTGCTCCGCCTCAGGGAGGCCAGGAAGCTCCAGGCCGCGGCTCTCGCGCAGCGCAAGGTGCCAGCATGCCTGCCTGCCAGCACATCAGCATTCAACATCCTCACATCCACAACGACATCGCAAGTGTGCATACAGGATCCGCGCCTTTCTGCCTTGAGCCCAGGCCTTGAGCCCAGGCACCTCACAACACGAGCTGAAGCCAGCTAATTAGACTGCTTATCTTTTCTAGATCCCAGCCTGGGCCCATCCGCAGCCCCCCGAGCTCTACTTGTTCAGCTTTTAGACTTGGTGGCTTTCCACTATCTTCACAAGACTTCCGAAGCACTGCGGAAGCACCACCCTGCTTGAAACTTGGAACCATCCCTCTGACACCTTCGTTGACCTCAGTTGCTGGTCTGGAGCCCGGCCTTGGAAGCTGCCATCGCCAAATCCTGGATCCATGCAGGCGAATCATTCGGGAGGCTTGCCGCCATAAGAGGATACGCAAGATATTACGCGAGACGAAGGGCTCCTCCATGCTGTGGGCGGCGCAGAGGGTCGCGAAGCTGCGCCTGGCCTGCTGGAATCTAGCATCATGCTACCTCTCCTCCCCTTCTGTCCCATACTCTCACAGCCGGAGCACCTCTTCGAAAACGGCGGTCTTCGCCATCTGGCACATTACACGGGCATGGCACTTCAAAGCTTCTGCGATGCTCCGGGGCTCGCCTTTGCCAGAGGCGCCGGCACCACCTCACGAGAAACCGCAGCACAGCATCTGTAGCTTTGGACATCATAAAATGTCGAGATGAAAGAACCAATTTGATGAAACCACTCCGCACCGACTAGTTCTGTTAAGTTCCAGACCGGCCACAGCAACAGTTGCACGATCGGCATCATGAGTCCCATGATCCCATCCTCCTGCACGGAAGCGAAGGTGGCAATCGCGCCTCACGTTTCAAGCCGTCCTCATTTCTTTGCTGATTCGAAGGTGCCACGCAGCCAAGTCTGCCCAAACTGGGATGCTGGCGCACCGCCAGCGCAGCTTGCAACTGGTCGGGGGCTGCTTCCTCAAGATCTTCACCGACACCATGAATCCACGGCCATGGTCCCTCTGCACCCCTTTTCGTCCTGACCAGCTGCTGCTGCAGGCGATGCCGGGTCCTGCCAGGAAATGTCAGGTCTGCACCAGCAGCTGAAGCGAAGCTGCCATTTTGCGAGCGCCCGTCCTTTCCAACGCTTTTTGGAGACACGGGCAGCGGCACCGGCAACGGCCTGCAAAAATGCCACCAGCATGACACACGCGTCTGCCACAGCTCTTTTGATTGAGCCCGCCACGCGTCCGGGTCGAAGGACAGCAAGTCCTGAAAGGGATGGCAGCGCTGCGCAAGATCAAAGCTCCCATCCCCGACGAAAGCAAGGCACCCAGCCTCGGACCTGTCAAGCTCGTGCCGGCTTGCCTGGCAGTGCCAGGCAAAATCAGACTGGGAACATCCTCGTGCAGACTCAAAGCAGGCGGATGACCAGCACGAAGAGCTGCTGCAGCATCAGGCCCGCAACAATGGTGTTCGCGATGGCCTGGGCACCATGTGTAGCAGGCTCTCTGCAGTCCTGATTTACCGCATGGTAGAACTGAGGCAGCAAAGGCTTCTAGCATCCTGTAGTCTGTGCTGTAGCCGTGGCAGCCTGGATGCTGGGACTCGGACTCACTGTTGACTCGCACGCCGATGCGCTTGCACAGCTGAGCATAGTAAGCCTTGGCGCATCTGTGCTGATCTGCCCTCCCCCTGCCACCCCAACCGGGCATTTCCTGCACTGTCCTGCATGTCAGCCTCAGCTTCTGGGGGCCCGTGCCGCAGCATCTTCGGTCAACAGCTCCGGCCTAGTCTGGGTCAGGAAAGGCCGGGACTCAGAAAGACGCTGGGTCAGAGCTGTTTGCAGGCCCTCCTCTCTGTCTCAAAGCGCTGTCTCTTGAAGAGGGGCATGTAACCGACTCTTGCTGAACAACGCCGTGCTCAAACTTGCAAGGGCAGATTCGAGAATCAGGCTTGCCAGCGAACAGCCGGTTGTAGCCGCCGCCACGCAAGATCGTTTCAAAGGTGTCTTGCGTGGCCTCGCACGCGTGAAAGAGATGCAGCGGTCACTCCTGCCGCAAGAGGCTCTGCACGCAGGGCAGAAATCTGAACATGGAGAGGCCCAAGTACGCCCAAAATGCACGCAAGCGACGCTGGCCAGAAGGCTAGACCTCTGCAAAGCCAGCATACGGGATCATGCGGGATGCATCAGCTGAGACATGTTCTCTGGCGCATCTGGCATCATATGATGAGAAAATGCGAGCAAAGCGGCGCAGTGGCCATCAACTGCATGCGTACACGCCGCACGGGAGAGATGATGGCGTTGTGCGCCAGCAGCTCACACCCCTGCAGATGGAGGGGAAGCTCTGAAGTTACAGCCAGCCACAGCGACGTCTGTGTTCGCACGGCTGAGCGTGCAACACACACAACATATGCAACATCAGGTGACTCTGACGGGTTCTTGCCATCTCAGCAGATGGGCCTGCTTCTTGTTGAAGAATGTGAAGAGCTCGCCGCCCTTCTTCTCCGAGTATGCCACCCTGAGGCACGCACGGGACATCTTGCAGCCGGATGCAGCCGGGCTGCGCCACTCCGGTTTTGTACAGCTGCCGCACGAGGGCCTCATGAAAAAAGGTTTTGCAGCTGAACACTTCAGCAGTCTAAATACTCACAGCCGCATTCCCTCACTCTGACTGCTGAATCTAAGTTCGCTGCGTCGGATGTAGCCTGCGTGGTGGCATAGATGCCTGTTCCCATCGTCATGGCTTCTTCCACATAGGACAGCCTGAACGCACACCAACTTCGCTAGAAAGGTAACCGTCTGCGCAACAGGGGTCCCGGCACGGGGATGAACTCCTCCAGAGTTCGTGGAAAATCCTCAGGCTCAGCCCCTGCGATGTCACGTAATTTCTCAGATCCTCGCTCGAGGGCGCAACGTCCTGGGAATCATTTGCCTGTCAAGTCTACGCGCTGGAATTTCACAGCCCTCGCCTTTTTCTACCATGAGGACTGCAGGACTACAGAACGAAATCCCGCCTCCCAGAACCAGGCGATGGCATCAGATGCCTCGCACGAGCACAACGATTGCCGCTTTCGCCCGCATGCCGCATGCCGCAGAGTCCTGCTTACTTCATGCCGGGCCCCAGGCCGCAGAGGACAGCCACTCCATGGCTGCCAGTCGCCGAAAACCAGCGACGCAGCTCCGGATGGCTTATCCGGGAAAAAGAAATAGTTGAGTCCCTTCAATTCTTACCGTGCTTACGAAGTCCTCCCTTGGATTCTGCTGCCAACAAGCTGCAGATGGCTTCTACGCCAGGAAAAGATGTTAAGTCCCCTGGGCTTCTGCTGCCACTTGTCATTTGGAACAGCTCGCTGCACCTGCTAGTCCTGCACTTCTACAGCCTGACTTGGGAGACGACCCTGCATCGAACAACTTCAGAGTTCAAAATACTGGTGGAACCACTCGGAAGTAGAAACGCAGCGTATTTCACAAGCTACCTACACGTACAAGCTGTTCGCTTTAGGCATTAGCAGTGTCATCACATTCGCGGTGATCTCTAAGGAGTTTTCTTGAAACTGCACGGACGTGCTGTGTTGGAATGAAATAGCACTGCGCAATGTCAGTGTTACAGCTGAGTCATGCAAACCGACTTCTTGAACCAAGTCCTGCAGCACCTTAACCTTCTCAGGCGCAGACCAAACCGATCTTATGGATCTGATGCCCCGGGCCGCTGTTTGCTAGATTTCGTTCGGACTTGCAAACGCTCCCTGCAGAGAAAATATCCACAGGCACTTGCTGAATCATTTTGGACATGCATCAATGCAGGGCAGCGTGGAGATTGCTCCAATACGTTTAGTGTAACATGGCCCCTGGAAGAGACATTCTTGAAGATCCCGCAAGGAAACGGCACAGAGTGAGGACACGGCTTCTCCCGCATCAAGGCAACCTCTTCGAGCGTGTACCTGTTGCTCTCCAGGCAGATTGAAAGACGTTTTCGGCGCACTGGGCTACGAAGAAATGTTATTACAATTGCATTGTTCAAGAGGTCATCTAGCCTTGTTGAACTCATGTTTAGACTCCGCCGTTAGGGCGGCGCCATGCATGCCAAAGCAAATCATAGCTTAAGCAATGAGCTTCTATGACTACGCTGCAACATTGCGCTGCTACCTGGCACGGCCACGTCATGCAAAACCAGATAGCCACATTAATGCGGTGGCAGAAGCATGTTCCATCAAAGAAAGCTACTGAACCTGAGCTCCCTGCCCAGCATTAGCCCGTACGGCCAGCTTGGCCTTAGCTATGCGAGTGCCTGTTATTCGGTGCCAATGGGTCAGGCAACGCCATATGTTCTTCACATGCAATAAATGCCATTTAGACTTCAAATAAATCGCAGGAAGAAAAGTCAAGCGGTACATACTTAGCGCTCAAGAGCCAGGAAGAAACCTTTCCCAAAGGGAGTCAACTGGATGAGCAGCAAGCTCATCTGGACGGCGTCCTGATTTTAACCCAAGCAATGTCGGTAGCCGCTCAGCTAGCAAGGCCAGAAAATGCCTCAGAACACAGAAAGTACTTGTCAGTACTTTCTGCCGGGACACGCCTAAACAGCTTCTTTGGGATCTCACTGTGGGACCCTCTTTCGACCGATGTTCGGCGCTCAGGCAACTTACTTGCAGGATGGAGGGTTCTGTTTCGGCATGGAGCTCACTCGGCGAAGAACTCCAGAAGCAGCTTGTTAAACTCGTCAGCAAACTTCTGGTGGATATTGTGCTTGCCTTCCTGGACGCACGATGCCCCAAAATGAGCATTCCGCGTTTACATCGCTGAGCATTGGGCTCCCGAAAGCGATTTGTAGAAAAGGACAACTTATTAATCCCCCAGCAGCTGGTAGCAACAATCTGTGCTTCGGAGACCTGCCTTGTCTGTACTTCTTTATGTCATCTTATGAAAAGCGCTTAAAATTTTCTCCCTTCATCTGTGTGACCCGTCTAAAAATTGGGTCTCGGTTAGGGGCTTATTGTTCGACGGCCCCTGGTCATGGAACCCTCTCTGCTGCTTTTCCTGTGCAAACCTGCATAGCACTGACTGCAAAACATGTCTCCCTGGACCGGTTTCGCGTCCCAAGCCACCCTCACAAAAATGGGCATGGTGCCTGTTCTTACTTCATAGGTTTGAACCAAACCGCCCCCAGGGTCTATCATGAGGGGCTGACATGTTTAGACATTGTCGAGACTCTATCACAAGAGTGGCTTTGTGCTAATCCTCCCCAACTTCATTCTGTAGTCTGAGGATGTCTCAGGCCTACTTATGTCCTAGCGGAGGTTCTTCAAATGGGATGACCGCGAAGCTGTCCAACATGTTGATACTATGTTTTTGCTTGAGATCTGCTTCAAATGAAGCCTCTCAAGTCAAAACGCTGCCCTCAGAAAATCGCAAAACCAGTGGATTCTAAACCAGAATCCATCCCCTCGCCCATCAACCCTCTTGCATCTCGCATTTCAAGTCAGCCCGGGCACAGGAAATATGTGAAGCTTGGAGCCGGCGATTGCCTTGCCAAGGGAGGCTGAAGCGATCGTCAAGAGGATGTTAAGGGGCCCATGCACACTGAGGTCTGAAATGGTCCCAGCCTCCCCACACACTTTAAGCGACCCCCCAGCCCACTCTCTACCCAAGCTTCTCACGGCCTGGTGGAACCACTCCGGGTGGTGCGAAGGCACCAGAGGATCTTTCGCTCCATGCCTGAGAAGAATAGGAACTCAGAAGCTCTGAAACTACTTTTATGCAGTCTGAGGCCGCTTCGTGGATGCAGGATTTACTCCTGTGTCAACGCCTGCGATACATGATGCTATAGTTGAAGCAGGCAGCTACATCGGCTTGTATAGACTTACGTAGTTACGCGTGTTTTGCAGAATGCACAGTTTGGATTCTACAGTGATTGGATACCACATTGACATGCGTCCACAACCTTCATGCTGACTTTTGAATGCTGGAGAGCAGCCAACCTGTGTGTTTTGATTACAGTACTGGCCCATGCATCGAGCCCTCTATAAACGTAAAAACACAATCATCTGCCTGTGATCGGCGGCGCCAAGTTTACTGCTATATGAACATGCTAACTACTGGACATGATCTCATTATTGCGGTGTCCTCAGTATCACTCCTACATGTAGAGCCTGGCACCTGTTGATGAACAACTCTGAGCCCTCATCTGCCAACCAAGTTGCAGGATGAAAGTGGGGCACTTCACTTGCTTGGCCTCCTTCTGGCAGATGTCCCCGCCAGCGTCGTACATCATCTTCATGGCCTCTTCTCTGTCTCAGACCCTAACTTCGACAATAGAAGCCTTGCGGATCTCATACCGTTGATGCTAGAATTCCTACATCATCTTATTATTGTACTGTAGTACCACAATTCCCAAGGTATGAGGTCCTTAGGGTCATGCAGGATTTTTGGTATCTACCGTACAACTACTCTGTTGAGACTGCGGACTTGAAGGTGTCATGCACTTTAGGCATGATAGGCTCAGTATGGCACAGTCGCCCTTTCAACTTCCATGTATTTATAACGGTTGTGTATACAGTAGGTGCTCATATTTGCAGGGATCACCCTGATAGTGTGGCCATGGATCTGGGTCCATTATGCCGACATGCTCCGAAACTCTGAAACCTTCAGACTCTTTCGGACCCTTTTGCTTGCGAACCCTCAATGAAGGCAATCTGACAATACTGCAGCCCATTGACATCGCAGAAGGAACTCCACATCGGCTGCAGATCATCTCCATAGACCTTGCTGCGACGCAGGCGGCTTCATAGAATGGAAAGTCTCTGGAGGGAAATCTAAGGGCCTCTAGATGGATTCCTTCCTCCAGTCCCTGCTAACAACCAGGAAGTGCCTTTGAAACAATGCATTCCTATATGAACCCAGTTTCCGTCCATGTGATTTTTTCCATTTGATCTGTCATTGGAGGGCTACCCTAAACCCAAGAAATAGGAACCCATCTGATAATCTTTGCGAAATGTTTGTGCGGATAGGAATTGTGCGGCTACAGGCGTTTGCAGCAAACAGGATTGTGGCCCTCTGGATCACGGTCTATGTGGGTTGTGCGTGTCAACTCAAGCTGTGGTGAAGTCTGGCTGTCTATGGCCTGCCCAAGACTCTTCGGACCTAGGCCCAGGTTTGCTTAGAGGTTCGCCTTTATCCATGGAACCCAGGAACAGAAGTTTAAGGGCTGCTGCTCACTGTTGGGGTTTGTTGGAGGTGGTTGTGAAGTTTTCGGATCCTGCAACTGCGCAATAACAAAAGCAGCTGATGGTCGACCATGTGCAGATTCTACACGAGCAGGTATACCAAAACAGATTCGCGTATGACTGTTGCGGATTCTGCCAGGCTAGATGATGCAAACAGATTTGAATCGTCGACGTGGCATCCACGTCAGGAAGCAGGACCTTCTTGCAAGTGGAAATCATTTGTTCTCGTTGTCACCTTAGTCTACGAAGCCTGGGCCCATCTCAAAATCCAACCACTTAGCCGATACCTGTCAAGCCTACACTCTGCACCTTGCTGGGGGTCAGTAGGGGGAACATGAGTAATGAGTAATCCAAATGTAATGTATTCCCATATTCCCTACCAAGCACTACCAAGCACCAGTAAGACGCTGGATGAAGCGCGATGGAGTTGCTGGCCGGTGTGTTTCGAGCATCCTCTTGCTCCAGGCTTTCTCTACATCCCGCAGGCCCTGCACAGGCAGAAAATAATGATGCGCCCTGCTTCAGTGACGAACATTTCACAACAACGCTGATTGGTTTCAAGTTGAAGTAGTCCTCAGTGGCAGGGGAACCAAGCATAGCCGGGGCAACTTTCTTACTGCCAGCGCAAGATTCGTAGCATTCGGGTTTCCAACCTGCAGCTGACTGACGCTGCAGTGAGCGGTTTCTGGGCTGATCACACCGATCCATGTCAGATCCATCTTCGAAACAAGACAATGTCACGGCACAACCTATATATATCCAAAACGCTGCAGACTGCGTCCTTCACACGGGGATCGCAAGCGGCAGTGCCTGTTATAACACGGCTCCTTTCGCCTGGGGTCGTCTCATCGGACAAACAACTGATACTTGCTGCTGCGAACACAAAAGTGACATAGTGTGACCCCAAATTTCAAGGCAATATAATATAATAGTAGTGTCCATTTTATTTCCATTATCCCTAATATAACCCCAATATAACTCCCTAATATTCGTACCCCAAATTTCAAGGCCATGCTCCATGCTCTCTTTCTACGCAGGAACTGTCTTCGGGTCCTGTTGATATGGGACCTTCTCACAACTCGGAGCCCTTTTTAGCAAGCTACATATGCGCAGCCACATTGTAACAAGAACCAATACGACACCATACTTTGACGACTCCACAAGGTCCAACCACGTCCTCGTAAGCATCCACATCTTCTTTTGTGATGGAGCCTGCGTTAAAATCCCCAAGTAAGGCACATTTTCACCACTTCAAACAGGGAATGCAAAGAGCTAACATATGCCAAATTGAAGAATCGCAACTGGGCTTCAGGTGGGTCGTGGTGCAGCTACTTGGTACCGATGGCGGAACCATGTAATGATGCTGGCATGACGAACTACAAGTGTTTTTGCTTCTGATCAAGATTGCGATGAAGATTGCAAGGACCGTGAGAAACCCTGACTTTCCCTTAAAGCCAATTAGAAGCCTTTCACGAGTCTGTATATATATATATGATATCGCACCATGCTCGTGCACGTGCATAAGGATCGTCTTGATGCTGCAAGATACAGCGCAAGCTCATTTTCAGCTATGGGGAAGAAAAGGATCAGAAACCCTCCCATGATGCTCTATGTAATCATGGGCGCTTGACTGAGTTTGATTAATAAGCGTAGCAGTACTAGTGGAAGCAGTGGCAGTAGCAGTAGCAGTGGAAGTAGCTAGATAGTAATCGAGCAAGACCATAATTTCCTGAAACGGAGGAGAAGACGATGAGCGCAGTATTCGTAGTCGTTCAAAATCCTATACTACTGCCTGTACAGGTGATAGAACAAGAATGAGCTTCGATATCAGGAGCCTTGCGACCCCAAGGCAAAAACTCTCGTGATGATGTGCTGGACCTGCACATGTTTAGCCTCCATTGAAACTAAACATTCCTCTCTGCAACCACAAACATCCGTGCCCTATGATATACTGCTCACTCTTGAATCTCGTGAAGCACTTTTGTCTCTGCTTTGCTTCAGGAACCCCATACGTCGGTTAAACTGCTGCGCATTTCCGGGGTAGAGGCTTGAAACACAAGAACGGAATACCGAAAGAATTGGAATCTTTTGTAGTGATCACAGCAGGGCCCAATACAAGTGCCGGGCGGTGCAGTTTTGTTCCGGCTGTAGGCCCTGGCATTAAACTCTCATGTGGCCTTGGATCCCGAAAACGGCCAGCTTTTTGACAGCCTCTGGCCTGTCAAGGATAATGCAAAGCAGATGTAACTGTACTGCCAAATCTTTGTAGAGAGATGAAACGTACTTGCCGCACTTGTCAAATCATAAACGCACTCATTTCTCAGCACAGCTCTGCACTGACAACGCTTTAACACTCCTTGCACAACTCAGCAGCCTCTTTGCTGCCAGGATCGTGGCCGAAATCGCGCCATCACTCCAACCGATCACGTTGTACGAGGCAATGCCTGCAAAGCGAATTTGGATGAATTTGGCCACTATATTGGTGAAAGAAACGCGGCGTGGCGATGAAACCGCAAACAACCCTGAAACCCTGATGCACCTAGAGAGTCCATGATGGCTGCAGCATCCGAGGCATCCAAATGGTAGAAATCCGCTGGATACCGGCGATTGGGTGGGCGAGACCTTGGTACAAGCTGAGCTGAGCAGGACTATGCAACCCTATGGAGGTGGATTGAATTGCACATCGATATGTGTGTATATATATATATAGATATGGGCACATATATCTATTGTTAATATAGGGACATATAATACGGCCAGAATGAAAAAGAAACTGTGACTTTCTTCAGCTTTGTGTTAAGTATCCAACACATACATCGGCCAGATCTACAAAGCCAGATAAAACCTTGCACGCGCTGATCGAAGCCCAACATTTCCAATGCCGAGCGCTGCATCAGGAATCTCCCTTGCGGTAGCACAATCCTCTAATTGGCCTTGGGCCCTAATATTCAGTTCTCAGAAGCTGCCAGATCAAGTAAGTCCCATCTGAGTGCCGGGCTTACCATAGCCCCGTGGATCGAAAGCTATCACACCATGCCGCTGGGACAAACCGTCCAGTTGCGGTGCGAAATCCTTCCCCCCCCCGATGAGTTGCAGCCATTGGAAGTGCAACGTGCATGTGAGCGCCACAAACTGTTGAAGTCTTTTGGGCCACATTCTGAAACCCTGGAGACCCCACTCACAGTCCGTCTCTGCCGTCCCCATGGCACCAGGTAGACATATCACAGGCAGACCTGGAACAAGCATAGGCTGCATACATGGAACCATAAAATCTCACAACCACATGGGGCAAGCCTGGCGAACTCTTCAGATCTCCCGCTGTCAACACGTACCTTCCACCAAGCAGCCCAACAACATGGAGATGTCACACATATTTCGGATGCGCAGTTCAGCTCTTTCGGCTCCAAGCTGCAATTTCCGTCCGTTTACATCCAGGAAATGCTCCTCCCGAGTGGAGGATGCGCAGCGCGCAAAGCGCGCAGAGGCCGCGGGACGGATTGGCCTGGCCCGGAGGAGCCCGAAAAGATGTGTCAGCCGCGGAGCCGCTCGCGCCATGGCTTTTTGCAGGTGAAAACAAGTCTGGGTTTTGGGGGTTGGCACATTCTGACGTGTGTATGAAGTTTGGTGTTGGAACTGTTTTGGAGAAATCTGCAATTTGAAAGCAGCCAAGGCTGTCTCGTGCTCAAAGCTTCAAGGCTGTACAACGTCGCGGAAGGTGATGATGCAGTTGTCAGAAAAGCCTATTCTGTGGCAAAAAGGGCAACAACTACGCTGCTGCTGTTGCTCGTTCTAAACCGAAAACGTACATCGTACCCTTTCTTCATGGACCCTTCTCAGTGAAGTTTATCACCGTATCAATGCACACTCAAGCAACGTCAAGTCTCCCACATCGGACACGAGCTTGGCGCAGATAAGGTGGAATAGAGCCAAATCGATAGTCTTGCCCGTGTAGTCCTGACACACAGCTACACACAGAAATGCTCGCTGCTCCGAAGTGCTTCCACTTTTAAGCGCCCATAGACATGCTGGGATCTTGAGTCTCATGCTTTTTGCACAGGCATGGGCCCTTGGATTTTTGCAGCACCCGCTGACAAGCGAATCAAACTGTGCATACTGTACCGCCGAAAGCAAACCATGGCTCGTGCGATATCACTAGACTAGGCCTCCACATCATCCTCCGACGTTTCGTCGTGCTCGTCGTCTGAACCTCCGTTTCTCCATGATTCAAAGTTTGGATCTCTGGCTTGATTCATGCACACCCCTTGGGGGAAAAATTTCTGTTGTTGGGCTTGCACGTTTCTCAGCGTAAGATATACTGCCCTGAACGCTCCTTTGAAGAATTGGCCGGACTGTAGATGCCAGCTGAATAAGGGACGTTGTGTCCACACGGAACCCGTGAATCAGGGGGCCGGTCAGCTTAGCATTTTAGATGGCCAATCCGCGCCTTGTGTCTCTAGTTGTCCTTCACACAGCTGAAGTTTATCCGTTCCGTAGCCCTGCCTTTATCCCTTATACGCTAGCGTTCTTTCCATTTCATGTTCCGTTTAATTCTCCATTTTCAAACACAAAAAAGCCTCAGCCAAAGACCTGAACCACTACACCCTACATACCCCGCAGTTGATCCCAGGCTGCAAACCCACCGATCTGACCCCCCCTGGTTCGGTGTTGTTGAGATTCTTCTCATCTTACCCCCTGTCCACCCCGTGGTGTGCCCTTCCACAGTTAGTCTGTAAGCATTCTTGTAATTGGCCGCTCCCATGCAGAATGAAGACTGAAGACCTACAGTGTGTTGAAACTAGTGAAATCTGCTTCTCCCCGTGGGGAGTGGGTAGCCTTTCTCTGCCTCCCGTCTTCGTGCGGTGCAGGTTGTCAGAGAGTGCGATCCGAAAACTGTTACCTTTATGATGAATTGTGCAAACCACTGTCGCTCGTCGTGTGAGCAGCACTGATATGGAATTGGCGGAATTGGCAGAAGCCTGTAACTGTAGCATTCAGCCTTGATTTTTCCTCAGGTCGTTCAGACCTTTCTCCTCGTCCTGTAGGAGCGGGTGGTTTTCTCTCTCCTGCTGGTTGTTTCGTGTGGGACATGAAACATTCCTGTGACTGCTGGCATGTTCGAAATCGAAAAATCAGAACCGATGACAGCTGCTTGGATCGCGAGCAAAACCCCACCATCCCTGTGACTGTTGGTGCTTTTGAGAGGTCTGGGCTCGGGTTGGAAGACCAAACAATGGGGGGTGAGGTAGGGTGGGGCCTGGGGGACCGGCATCATATACATATCCCTTGAGCTCTTCGAAACTCTTCATGGCTTCTCTTAGGAACTCGACTCGTATCCAAAAGCTTCAGGGAGCCCTGCTGGAGCTGGAGGAGATGGCAGCAAAGCTTGAGGAGCTGCTGCGAATGCCAGAAGTGATGGAGAGCACGTCCTTCTCAAATAATGCTAGCTGCATAATTCTTGATGAGGAGCCGGGATTCTTTTCAGCGATCTCTTTCTGCGGGCCATATTACTTTGTTACAAGTAAAAGATGGGCAAGCGGGTTCATACCTGCATTGAGCCTTGATTGTAAAAAGAGGGCAGTCTGTTTGTGCTTCAGACATAGGACTCGTAGTGATGCAGGTACTTGAAAAAACTGACAAGGATGGTGGCGTTTTTGGGTTCGCAGATTCTTGCAGTCATGATGTCTGCAGGGTCAGGTACCTTGTTGGGGATCTTGACTGAAGGCTTCGCGGCCATCCATCAGGACTTCAATGGGCGGTTCAAAGTGCTTGCCCGGGCTCAAGCCAAAGGATTTTTTAAGGGTATGTCTGCCAGATTTCGTGCTATACTGTAATATACCATAATATACCATATAGAATATACAATAATATACTATAGTATACTATGATATACATACGATAATGGAATCACAGGATGGCGACTATGAGTCTGCTGGCCACGCGGAATGGAGGAAATGGCCGTATAGTCGCCCCGCTTTATCCCCCAACGACGTGGTAATTTCCATTTTCCCTATATAAACATATATAAACCCTACATACTACAGTTTCCATTTTCTTTTCCATATCCCTGTATAACCCCTATTATAGTAGTTTCCATGTTCTTTTCCATTCCTTCACTCCTCAAGCCCTAAGCCCCCACCCCCAAAATGGCCCCTTTCCCATCCCCTGTGAACAACAAGCTAGACACGGCTGGTGGTCCTTGCTGGGTCGGCTCAGAAGCATGCTCACTGGTGGGCCCTGCTTGGCCTTGTCGCAGAAGGCAAAGTCTGTCGTCCTACGGTCCTGTTCCCATATTGAGCTATAGTCTTAACTCCTTAAAGTAAAAGGGGGGTTACGTAGGGGATTATGTAAAGGGATGATACAGGGAACCACAATAGGGGTTATGAAGGGGATACTATAGGAGTTTAGACTATATATTTCTCATACTAGTGTCCAACTATGACCTATAAGGACTGCTTACTACTTCGCATAGGCATCAGTTACTACACTTGCTGTTGTTCTCATTGCACCCAACATCAGCATCAGGCCTCAGGCACAAGGTTCGGCTAACAGCAGAAACTTTCAAGGATCCAGGGGGGTAGTAGCGAGCAGGGATACAAGGTTAAGCCTTTCTGGAAACAGGTCCAGGGTGTCTGATTGGTTTGCTGCTCAGCAGCACTCGGAATCCTCTTGGGGACTACCTCTCCTCCCTGGGTCCCTGATTTCAGAAAGTCACCTTTCAACTAGTATTGCAAAACCTGACTTTACTGATCTGGCTGCTGATACACGTTTTGCCTGAGCATGTTCTGCTAACCTACTGGAACTGCGGTATGGCTGCAGATAACATTGCAAACGGGAAGCTGGTCCAAATCCAGGTGAAATGTGGGTTCTGCCCGGCCTGCAATCATCAAAGTCCCCTTCAATATACAAGAAGTAGCCAACAAGCGGGGATATTCCCCCTATTCACTTAGTGGTGGAGTAGCTTGTCTTGCCCCCTTCATTGAGGTTGGGGCTGCGCTCGCTTCCTGCGCTGGGGCCAAGATCGAGCCTTGCCAGAAACAAACTGAGGTTACAGGATGTTATACAAGATAGTCCTAAAAGTTGTTGAGCAAAAAAAAGGCATTGTCATGTCATGTTGCAGAAGTAGGATTGCGCAGAGCGCTTCTCAGTTCACGCTGTTCCTGAGCCATTCTGCTAAGTAGTCTCCCCCTTGAATAGGAAAGGGCTGCACTACGGCTGTCGGCTTGACAATTCCAATCCCACTGTTCTGCAGAAGCACGCTACAGCCTCAGAACGCCTGAGAGCCTAACATCAGCAGCATGTCAGCAGCCGACAGTAACAGCTTTGATCTGAGCCCGTTGCTGAAACGGCGCTTCCTGCTTGTTGGAAAGCTGGCAGCAATGCTGGCACCTTTGCACTGATTGTCAAGTCTGCCACAGTATGCTCACAATCAGCGCGGCAAACTCGACACCTATGAGTGACCCGAAGCCTGAATTGGCAGCCCTTCTGTATCTCCTTTGAGTACAGTACAGTCCCTTGTTTCCTGCGGCCCCTGCGGATTTCCTCGACCTCCGCCTCTGTCGCCTCAGAGTGGTCTTGTTGCAGGATAAGGAGAGCGTGGCATCTCCACAATTCCACGAAAGTTGCATCCCAAGCAAGACCGCGCCCTTGCCTTGCTCTGAGGTATGCCACGCGCGGCATACTGCTGGCCATGTTTGACAATCCCTATAGGACTGTAGTAAAACGCTCTTGCTGTCTCCTACATGCACGCCAAGAGTCAGACAGAGAGAGGGAGAGAGAGAGAAATCCGGAAAAATCCAACTGAACCAGGAGGTGGCAAACACCAATGGAGTCAGCAATACCAGAGCAAACACGTGATGTGCGAAAAGACATGGGTTGCTCTCTACCCTCGATGCCCCGCCTTGATGCCCAGGCTACGCAGGGTGCGAACACATGCGGGCACCTGTCAAGCACAGGTTGTGCGACATGGGATTTGAGTTGAGGATCACAGGCCTCGGAATGCTATCTGATTACCAGCAGGAAATGGATAAACAAAGCACACCAGAAGAAAGGCCAATGCGGGGACACCTGACCGCATGACAAAGCTGGCAAAAGGGTACCCTTCGTGAATACAGCGCATACCCCAGCATCATCATGCCCAATCTCAGCTATGATGGCGCTGCGCCGAAACAACAGACACAAAGCTTTCAAGGCCAACGGCTAGGTCAAGATAAGGTCAGGTTTGTGCGCCAGACAAGCGGACTTGCGAACATGGGAGTGGAATCATGCACACACAAGCACCCAAGACTCGGCCACCAGTCCACTACCCAAACCCTGAATCGCGCTATATGAATCGTGGCTCCTGAATGCGGCTGCTGAATTGGGGTGGTTCTGGAACAGTCTCAGTGGGGGCTAGGACTGCCCAATTCTCCAATCCAACGCACCATATCATCTCCAATGAAAAAACTGAAAAAAAAACAGTCGACCGCGCCGTAGCAGACATGAGGCCTGCGACACTTGACAGCACTTTGAGGTTGCCATGGCCTCCAGATGCTGGGAGCCCTTCTCCAGGCTGCTGT